TCAGGAGTCAAGGGGTTCAACCCCCAAGCCCAGTCCCTCGGAAAGAGGGACAGAGAAAGGCACGAGAGCCCTTCAAGGCTCTGGGAAAAGGAAGCAACTCCAGCTCCAGGAAGAACCTGGGTCTGGAAGCCTCGCGAGATCGGGGGTCGGGATTTCGTTGCGTTGCCTAGCGACAGGGAGGACGCTCGCGGGCCCCCAGGCTAAACCCCGCCGTAGCCTTAAATCTCCTACCATGGGGGAAGCAGACGGCGGCCGCAGCTGTGGGACCACTAGGGAGCTGCAGAACCTGAAGCAGCAGGCGATGGAGTACTACCGGCAGAACGACGTTCCGCGCAGGCTGGAAGAGCTGCTCAACGCCACCTTCTACCTCCAGCCTGCCGACGTCTACGGGCACCTGGTAGGGACCTAGGACCAGTACCCTCCTCCTCCAGCCCCGCTCCCCCCGCCCTGCGCTGCGGCACCGCCGTGCGACTGCGCTGCCGAGTGGCGCATGCGCGCCGCCGGCCCGGAGTTCTGGTTGAGTGGAGCGGAGCGAACTCCTAGGGCGAAGGAGTCCCGGGAAGGTGCAGGAAAGGACAGAGGGCTCCCGAAGTATTGCTAGCTGCAGCGACAGCTCGAAACTTGGCAGGCTTCCTGGGTAGCCAAGGGCCCTCGCCACCTGTGGTCTCTGTAAACCTTTCCATCGCCAGCCCAGCGTACCAACCCTCAGCCGTCCCGTGACCACGCGATGGACGCCTCGGAGTTTGCTGCAGCTTATCGCAGCCCACCCTGGGGCTTCCTACAGCTGGCACCCCCTGTCCCTAAGTTCTCACTCGATTTCAAGCCTGCACTCCTTGGCTTGTGCGCTCTCTGCCTCGTCCCCAGCCCCTCCTTGAACTTAAGAATTCAGACCAAACTCTTGCCCGCTTCGCCCTAGACGGAGTGTCCTCTGCTGTTCCTGTGACGTTTCCTTCGTGCCTTGTGTTCCTTGGCGTCAGCCTTCCCGGGCAGCTTGTGGGCTCCTGTGAGAGCTGGGGTCTTTTATTACCACCTTTCCAGCCCCTGTGCCCAGCACTGAGATCTGGCACATTCCTTAACCGAAAGCAATGAACAGATGAAGCAAAAGCAAGCGTTTCCTCACTTCCAGGTTCCCAAGAACTAGTAAGAACTCTGTCTGGAGCCAGTGCAGCTGGAGTGGGAGGAGTTGCACTGTGGTGAGGGCAATCAAGGAGGCAGTACGACAACCCCAAGCAGATTGTACAAATGCTGAGTGGTTCCCCCCCCCACCCCCGCCCCCAAGCCCTGGCTTATGCATTGAAGTTAGGAAGTGGAGCATGGTGTTTACCCAGCCTACTGTGCTGCATGCTGCATGTTACCTTCCCCCTTATCTTCCCAACCACTGCCAGGTAAAAATTAGGATTCCCTTTTGCTTGTTTGTTTGTTTTTACTTTAGGGTGTATGGGCTCACCAGAGAGACAGAGGGAAGGAAAGTGAGAAATCACCCCCTCCAACTCAGGGGTCATGGCCACACCAAAGGCCACACCCAAATCCCTTCTCTTCCTCTCTCCTCTTGAGATTCTGGACACCTAAGGCACCAATCTGGTGTGTCTTCCTTTTTAAGAAATATTTAGTCCCATTTGATATCATTATTATCATTTTTAAAAATTTGACCGAGGGGGGGGGGCGGAAAGTGAGAAAGTAAGGTGCCAGGTCCGGGACTCAAACCACAGTCAGCCCTGTGGGAATTCAACGCCTTTAACCACCACGCCACCTGCTGACCCCAATGTGGTGCGTTTTTCAAGCCACCAAGTCCAAGGCTGTAACCTCTGAGTTGGCCATGTGCAATCCAACACCTCAACCACCATGCCAGCCCAGATTCCCATTTTACATATGAAGAACCTGTAGCCTAGTGAAATTCAAATGATCTGCCCAAGGTACAGTAGCAAGACAAGAACAAACCAGGCCAAGCCTGCGTCCCTAGTACCTGGCAGCATAGGTACTATGTAGAACTACTTATGGAGTGAATTAGTGAAGCCCCCAACTCTGATTCCATTCTGTTCACTGTCTCTTACTAAAGGCCTTCTTTTTTAAAAAAAAATTAACTTTATTTATTTATGTATTATTTTTAATTTTGACCGGAGAGGGACAGAGCAGGAGAAAGTGAGAGAGAGAGAGGGAGAGAGAGAAGGTGAGAAAGCAGGCTGCCAGGTTGGGAATCGAACCCTGGTCGGCCATGTGAAAGTCCATTGCCCTTAACCACCAAGCCATCTTCCAGCCTCTAAAGCCATTCTTGAAAGCTATCCAGTCTAACTTCCTCATTTTATAGACACCAAGCCCTGATCTCACAGCTATTTAGTACCCAAGCTAAGACGAGAAACTAGAAACTTGGGCACTTGTTTCCCAGAATGGTACTCTTCCGTGTCTGTTAGACAACCAGTGACGCCACGGTCTCTAGGAGCTTATCCCTTGGCTAGAGACCAAAGCCACTGACCATAAACTAGAGTAAGAGACAAGGTGAGGCGTGACTGTACGCTCACTGTACGCCTATGGGAGGAATTCAGGCATTGGGAAAGGTCCCTGTAGACTGTCATATCCAGGAACACTTTGGCTTGGATTTAGAAGAATGTCCAGGAATTACGCTGGCAAACAGGCAACCTCCTGTTCGTTTTTCAGTCACTGCCCTAGTTTTGGCTGTCCTGCTTCTCACCTCCTTCCTCCCTGAATGAAGTGCATTCTGCGTAGTGTCGCGGGAGCAGTGTTCCTAATACTCAAATCCGACCAGAATTCTTTTGCTTAAAGACCTCCTGTGGCTTTCCCTTGCTTGCTGGTCTTCGAGTGTGTGGTTCAGAGTGCCCCACAGCGCCCTGCCCCTGCCACCGGTAGCAGGCCTGTCTCCGGCTGCTCTTCACTGGGGCACATATTGTTCCCTAAAGCCTGAAGTTCCCCACTTTTCTTCCCTTTGTACCTAAATATCTTGCCCTCAACTCCCCCCACCTTGTCTCCCTGTTGAAGTACTGCACACCCTCCAATATTCAGCTCAATGTCATTTCTTCTATACTTCTCAGACACGTGAGAAGAATTCAAGGTAGGGAAGATCCCTGTAGACAGTAACGATTACTCTCTCATCGTAAAACTTATGATTGAAAGCATTTCCGATTGGCAATCAGACTGATTTGGGTTCAGTTAGCAGCTCTGTCACTTACTGGCTGTGGTAGAGTGTTACCCTGAGAGTCCCCCAAGACTGCCCTCCAGTGCAAATGCTCTTGTGTAAGTCCCTCCCATGTTGACTCTGGACTTGACCATGTAACTTGCTTTGATCATGCAGGCATAGTACAAACAGAGACTTGATAAGGTCTGAAATATTAAGGCTCATTCTTCTGAAAGCTAGTCATCATGCTGTGAGGAAGTCTGACCACCCCGCCGAACAGAGATTGGTAGAGGGAGTCCCTAGCAAATGTGAGACCACCATGATACCCTATGGGAATGACGAATACCCAGCCAGTTCCTGGCTGCTCCAACTAGCCCAGCGGAGGCGTTGGACGTGGGAATGACACCATCATGGGTATTCTGTCCCCAGGCAAGCCACCAGAAGACTGCAAGACCAACAAAAGAACTTCCCAGTTGAGTATTGCTCAGATTACAGCATCATGAGCAAATAAATTATTTAAGCCACTAAGTTTGGGAGTAGTCTGTTACAAAGAAGTAGCTTATTAAAATATGGGCTGTGCTATCTCGGATGATTCATTTCTCTGCAACTTCAGTCTGCTCATGTGTGGAATGGAGATAAGAGAGTTGTGCTGAGAATTTAATGACATAATGTATACAAGTGCCCAGGGATGTGTCATTAAGTTCATTCATTCATTAATTTATACAAGTTTATATATGTCACACACCGTGGTATGTGGTATGGGATAAAGAAGACATAGTTTTTCATTCAAAGTCCATATGAAACACAGAAAAACTGTTAGTTCTCTTCCCCTTCTAGCACATTGTAGGTGCTCAGTGATGGTTGAATTGAACTCACTGTAACATACCAAGTGTAGCCTAAATAATATTTGTCCTCTCCTAATTCTGTCTAAATTCATTGAGGCACTTACTCCAGGCCTAAATATATATATATAAACCACCATTCATAAAATGCATGGATGACTTGCAGATTGGCTTTTGCTTTCCTTCCGCTGAGCCCCACATCTGAGCTGGAACATGAAAAGCCATCTGAGCTGGCTTGAAAATGATGCCAGGTGCATGTGCATGCATGCCTAAGATCCTGGAAGGAGAATGGAGGAGAAGCAATTTCTCTCTTTCTCTCTCACTGTGTCTGTCTCTCTCTCTCCAGCAAGCGCATGTGTCCTAAGGCAAAACAAACAAATGCAAGCAAAAAAAACCCTCTAAAATCAATCAATCAATCAATAAAAATAAAGAGGACAAGGAGGGTATGCCTGTACTTTCCCTTCTTCCAGTCCCTCCTAGCTCCTGTTGCTCTGCATGGAAACATCTCACATCTTTTTACTTGAGTGGGTTTTCTACCTCAGCTTCATTGTCAGTCTTCAATCTCTTTCTTGGATCCCTTCCAAATGGCTTCTGCTTTTCCACATCAATGGAACCGCTGTTACTAAGGTTCCCAACAAGCCTCTTTGAACACGTTAGGACTACGCATGAGATGATGGTAAGTGAGACACAGCCGCTGCATAAGTCTTTACCATTAAAATATCGGTTGCCTTGCTGGGAGGAATAGAAATCAGCCCACTTCAGGTTTGTTACATTTGAATGCACCACAGTGTTCTAGAGACCAATTGACATCTGTGTGGTGAAAAGAGAGATAGGTTAGGAAATTGAGTTGGCTATAAGAAGGCCTGCTAAAGAGGGACACAGGGCCTTTACATTAAGAAATATATACAATGTGCTGCTGAGAATTCAAAAGACAATAAGTTGCCCTGTACACCAAAGACTACAACAGCCGAATCCAGATCTCGGTCCTTGAGGGCAGGGCAGTTCCCACAGAACTGCTAGTCTAAGCCCAGCACCGGGAAAGACACTCAGAGAAAAGGTGTGTATACACTAGAGTAACTGAGTGATAAATTAGAAGATAAATTAGATGCGGAATTGTGATTTTTTTTTTTATGTGTGTTGAAGGCAAACTACTTTTCTAAACTTGCAAAGCCTCCCACCATATGCAGAATAGTGGGGAAAACCATACTGGATGGACTGGGACTTCCTACCCTCCAAGTGGAAATATCCTGCACCATTCAAAATTTTCCCAAGGTAAGAGAGCGTGTACGCATTCTTCACTATGCCCTGACCCCACTGCAGTTATTAGCAACGCTTATGGAAACTGCTGACAATTCATGTTTTAAAAGTCAGTGTTGTGAAGCAAACACCAGGACACACTGTACACAATTTATTGGTAGGTCGTCACGTAGGCATGAATCATACGGTCAACTGTGATGGCTTTGTTACGCTTTAAGCGTAAGGTTGAAACAGACATGGCATACCAACCTGGAGGAGATCAAAGATGGAGAAAAGAAACGAGGCAAAAATAGGTCTAAAATTCAGACATTACTGATATGAGTTCTGTAAATCCACATATAGGCTTAAAGAGTCATATATTTATACAGTCACGCATCACCAACGACAGGGATACGTTGTTATTTTGAGCAATGCGTAATTAGGCAATTTCCCCCTTGAGTGAACGTTACAAGGAGTGTGCTTACACCAGTCTAGGTGGTAGAGCCTGTCCACACCTCGGCTATGGTACGGTTCACATGGGACCACTAACTAAGGTATATCAGGTAGGTCCTTTGTTGACCAAAGTCTTCTTTCTTTTCCTTTTAAGGATTATTTTATTTGTTACTACTATTTTTATTTTCCAGTTTGATCAGAGAGAGAGAGAGAAAGTGAGAAAGCAAGCAACCAGGTCCAGGACTTGAACTGCAGTCAGCCATGTGGGAGTCCAGCGCCCTTAACCATCACACCACCTGATGGCCCCAACCAAAGTGTTCTTATATGGTGCATGAACTGCTTACAGATTTGCATAGATCTGTAGATAGGTGCACTGAGCCAAATGAAGAAAATAATTTGTTTTAATAATTTTAACAATCTCAATTTATTTTAATTGCTATGTATTTGTTAGAAGTAATTTTGCTACAGTCTCTGGGAGGAGGATAATTATGTTTAAATCTGTTCACATTCTTGTAGCTATTTATTGGAGACGTGGTGATAAAAATAAAGCTCAGTGTAAGGTTTTTATAAGAGATTTTTCCCCCACCATAGGACATGTGTACTAACTGGAAAAAGAGAGAAAGTAAGAAATCACACACACACACCCCGAGGGATGGTCATGCAATCCCTTCCCTTCCATTTTCTTCTCGGAGTTTTGGTCACACATGCACTTGTGCTTGGTGTGAGTCCCAAGCCACTAGGTCCAGAACTTAAACCATGTGGTAGTCCAGCACAAAACCACCACGCCACCTGCTGGCCCCAAGAGTATTTTAACAAGGTAATACTTTTATTTTCTTTGTTTATTTTTATTTTCTTTATTTATTTTTAGAGAGAGATTTTTGCTATAGGGTGCGTGTTCTTGCTGGACAGAGACAGAAAGTGAGAAATCAACCCCAGTGGGGATGGCCATGCTGCAATCCCTTCTCCTTTATTCTCCTCTTGGGATCTTAGACACACACACATAGACACACGTGCCAGGCCTGAGTTTTAGGCTGCCAGGTCCGGGACTTGAACCATGGTTAACTAAGTGGGAGTCCAACAACATAACCATTTCATCATCTGTTGGTCCCAATTTTAATAATTAGGTAATAATTTTAAATGTGCCAAGTTTAGTTTCACAGCATTTCCACAAATATAAAAATATCTTTAAGAAAATTATATATTCTTTTTTTTTCCCTGAAAAACATGATGATATTTTATTATCCATGGGTGGTGTGGTAGTTAAGGTGCTGGACTCCCACATGGCTGCTACAGTTCGTATCCCAGGCCTTGTGGCTTGCTTTCTTACTTTCCCTCTCTCTCTCTCTGTGTCTGTTTCTGGTGTACACATGTGCCCATGGACGACATTTTTAAAACAATAATGATAAACATTTTTTAAATATCATGCACTTAAGAACTGGACCAATTTTTTGTCTTTTCAGTGAGAGGTGGGGAAAATGTAGAAGGGATATGCATACACGTGAGCACGTGTGTACACTGTTTTCAGGACATATGTTCGGTAGCAATCTCTACACATTTTGAGGTCCACGAGGATGCCCCACCTGAGCAGGCGGAAGCAGAAGAAGCAGAAAGGGGCAGTGAGGTGAGCACCGCTGTGCAGTGGGTCAATGAGACCATCACCGAGGAGCTGTGGGGCATCGACCCCTCCAACCAGGAAGATGTCGATCACATACTCAGGTACGTCTCCCACTGTGAGACAGAAACGTCCAGTGTACTGTATCTCCATCGTCCCTGCCAGGCGTGCTCATGTGGGGAGGTTCCAGTGTGCTCCTGGGGACCTCTCAGTACACCAGGCACATGGGCGGCTCAGGCTGGCTGGGGCACGGAGCACACCACCAAGTCAATACATTTGTGGAGTCATGGTCTATTTGTCTCTTTCTCACTCATATAATAAATAAGTTTAAGAAAAAAAATATATCTATTGTCTTTACATTTCACATGCCAGTAAAATGAGTGTCTTGAATCTATAATTAGGAAGTCAATTTACGAAGCTTTTTTTTTTTTTTTAAGGTTTTTGCCAACAGGGCTCAGATAATTTTAAAAATGAGCACCTGAAATCTTTAAATATCTATTTCCAGTTCTTGAACATGGTTTTATAACAGCTTCATTATTTTTTGATCTTAGAAACTGAAGCTGATTTGTTCTCAAGTAGGAAAAAAAAAAAAACATCATTAATTATTGAAATACATTGAGATCAGCTCCAAAACATGACCAAATTTACGCAGTGATGGTCCTAACTATCCCATTGTAAAGCCGTATTCTCTTGCCCTTAAGGATGTTCTTTGCCAAAAAAGTACAGGAAGATCTGGAAAGAAAAGAATTGGAAAAGAGCCTAGAAGACTCAGCAATGCCAATAGCTCCACCTCCAATACCGCCACCACCTCCTCCACCTCCTACAAAAAAGAAGGGACAAAAGCCAGGTCAGTGGCTTACCATCTCCCAGAACCCTTAGTAATAGTCGTGTGAGGAAGAGAGGCTGTAGCGTCGGCCGCCTTTCTGAGTCCTTTAGCTGCAGATCCAAGTCAGGCTTCCTTCCACTCAGGTGCCACCCATCCCCTCTGCCACATCCTCACTTGAAGCTGCGTGATGGGTAGACAGACTTCACCTACTCCACCCTCCATTTTTATCTGTAAGATAAAATAATTTCCAACCCAGAGTTTAGCATTTGTTATGTAATATACATAACAGTGGCAATGCTGGGGTGGGATAGATGTCATGGGGGACCTTTAACCTCCCCTCATAATGTCCATTGGCTAATCCAAAAGTCACCTTGTATTTGAAAGATTTGCTATTTTTTCAGTATGCACATGAACAGCCAACATTTTCTTCAGTCCCACGGAACACCAGATAAGCATTTGCTTTAGAACACTTTGTTTATTTAAAGCAAATCATTGGAGTTGTTACTTCAATTGGCCCTTTGCTTCATGCTTTCCAACCAATTGCTAACCTTGGACCTTCCAGTATGTTAATTCTGGAGCTATTCCTGGTCTAGTAACAATGTTTTCTTTGTCTACTGCATTAGAGCATGTTCCTTGACGGCATGAGTCATACCTTGTTCAACTTGCAGTTGTTAGGCACCCGGCAAACACCTCACAAATATCGGTTCCAGTCAATAAGGAAGCACCAGGACCAGGAGAGGACCAAAGAGACCATGGAGCATACATGGTCCCTTATTTCATATGATCATATGCTGAGGCCCAGAGCGGGGAAGAGAATTGCCCAAGGCAAAAGAATTATGTTAGAACTATCTTCTCTCAGGAGGGTGGAAGGGCCAGTATTAAGTTACATGTAGAGACCACCAATGGGTGTTCACTTGGCAGTTGCTTTTGACTGGAACTGAAGAGAAAGGAAGAAGGGATAGTAATTTGCTGAGCACTTATTTTGTACTATCTTATCTCTAGCGAGGACCTGACCTTAACCCTAACCTTATGCACTGATAGCTGTGGAGGACAGGACAAAAGGAATTTTTTTTTTTTTTTGAGAGATTTTCACTATAGGGCGCGTAAGCTTGCCAGACAGGCAGAGAGAGACAGAGAGACAGAAAGCGAGAAATCACCCCCCCCCGGGGGGATGGTCACGCCACAATCCCTTATCCTCCATTCTCCTCTCGGGATCTTGGGCACGCACGCACATGGGCCCGGCGTGAGTTTTAAGCCACCGGGTCCGGGATGCGAACCGCAGTCGACTACGTGGGAGTCCAGCAACATAGCCATTACGCTAACTGCTGGCTCCCCAAAAGGAATACTAGAGATTTACAATGGACTGTAGCACCTGATCAGAGTGGGTAGGTAGGAATATACTCGAGCAGAATATGAGCAAGGATTCTGGATGAGTAGCCAGATCTGAAAGGAATTTGTCATGATCATAACAGAACAAAGCATTGGTTGGGGCTTGGTGAGAAAGATAGCGGGTGAAATATACACATAAGAGATGTGACCAGAAAGTGAGGTGTGCAGCATCAATGGTAAAACCCAGAATTAGAAAGGATTTGATATATGAAGAATCCAAACCCTCTTTTTATCCACTTTGTGTTACACATTGGTTACATATCTTAACCCAGTTTACTTATGTCAGTGTGGATAACAATAGCTACCTCATACACTTGTTGAAGGAGTTCACATTGAATGGCCTAGACTTTCTCAGAGAGGCCAATATTCCATGGTAAGGATTATGTGAGCTTCAGTAAGACAAATCAAATAGACTACTTTGGGGGCGGGGTTGAAGTTGAGGATACGCTCTTTCCAGCTTCATTTTTAATCCTTTCTTTTTTGCTGGATCTTCCTAACTATAAGTAAAGCATTTTAATATACTGTAATTATAGTCAGACTTCCTAGAAAGAAATCTTTTCTCAATATTTTTCTCTCCAGGGAGGAAGGAAACTTTAATAGAGAAACCTATTCCACCTGCAGAACCTGTGGAGCCTGTACTCTGTGGCAGTATGGCCATAGGGGCTGTGTCCCTCGCTGTTGCCAAAACCAGTGCAACACTGGACAGTTGTCCTCTATACTTAAAAATTGCGTCACTGAAGCACATTCAGGTTAGTATCCACTGGGTCGTCAGACAAGTCAGGATGTATTCTTCTATGCACTTCTCCGATGACCCTGTATCTCCTTCGTTTACAAAGAGCCGTATCTCAGGGCCGATGGGCCATGTCTCTCCTCTCCTTGCTTGCCCCTGTTTTAGGAACAGTCAGCAACACTGACTCTGCCTTTGCTGATGGTATCCCTGCTCAGCTGTGGGAAGTCGTCACCTGGAAAGCTTAATTTAATGAAAGAAGTGATTGGTATCCCTCATCCTGGATTAACCACCAGACAAGTATTGTACATTATCTCAAACTGCTTCTTTTCTTTTTTTTTTTTTTTTAAATTATTTTATTTAACTTTATTTATTTATTTATTATTTGACCAAAGAGGGGCAGAAAGAGAAAGTGAGAAAGCAAGCTGCCAGGGCTGGGACTCGAAACACGGTTGGCCATATGAGAGTCCAGCACCCTTAACCACCATGCCACCTGCGAGCCCCTCAAACTGCTTTTTCTAAAGAAAATAGCCTATCATCAATGAGTTTTTCGTGTAGCTCCCTTGTGACACTAGAGTGGGAATTAATGTAAAATAGGAGCGAACATTTGAGAAATTAGAGAAATGAGAAGAAAGCAAGACCTGAAACAAAAGGGAACACATACAGACCACCTTCCGCGTCTGGTTCATTCCAGCACTGACAGACACATGCCAGTGACTCACGGAGAAGCTGTGTGGCTGATAACTCCGCAGGCCTCGCAGTGCAGGAAGGTTGTCAGCTGGGGGAGATGGGGCATCCTTACTTGCTGGTCTGTGCTCTGTGGCAGCAGCAAGTGGGATCTGGTGCTTTTCTAGCAGCCCACTCTACGAAGCAAGAGCTCCAGGCTTAGCAGATTGCCTGGCACATGGAGGTGTCTAATGAATATTTATGGAATGAATGAATCACAAGCTACATCTTCCCTACTCAGAGGCGTGCTGGTGTCTGTATGGCTCTTCAGTGGCCTGAAAGATATATATCAGTAAGAAAAAAGAAACAATTCGAGGTGATTTCTTTATGAGAAAGCCTTCTTTTTTTAAAAAAATCACTAGTACCTCACAGTCTGTCAGAAGACCGAGATTTATATCTGACTCACCAGCTGTCAGATCATATTCAGATCCTGGCACCAGATCATTCCTTTAGTTAATAATCTGTCGTGTTATTGAGCACTTGGCACGCCGTTTTTTAATCTGTGTTCGTATGCAGATCTCATCCTCATTAGAACACACTATTCAGCTTTTCTTTTTTGAGAGATTTTTGCTATAGGGCACATGTGCTCACCAGAGAGAGACAGAGTAAGTGAGAAATCACTCCTCAGAGGGGATGACTACACGGCAATCCCTTCTCCTCCCGTTTCCTCTCAGGATTTTGGGCATGCACGCACATGTGTCCCGCATAAGTTTCAAGCTGCCAGGTCCAGGACTCAAACCACAGTCAACTCTGTGGGGGTCTAGTGCTGGAACCACCATGCCACCTGCTGGCTTCCTGCTTTTTAAGTGACAGTGGATTTAACGGATTTAGTCATTCTGATCCAACTACCTTGGTGACCTGCAACATGTATTACAAGAAGGTTGATCAAGAAATCTTGAAAAGGAGTGAAGTTAACTTGACCTGACCAACTGAACCAATCGGTTCTGAACACTGAAAAGATGCTGCAGAGGAAGGAGAGGTTCTCAGTCACACTCAACCAAATGAAAATTAGGGTTAAAGAGGAACATTTCATTTGATTTTGTGCATATCATCCACTAACCGGGATGCCTTATCAGGGACTTGACAAATATTCTGAGTTAGAAATAGCTACATGTGGTATAGACTCCTCCCCCGCTCCACATAGGACTTTTTGTCACTATTAAAAGTCTGAACTTTAAACAGATTCTTGGACTGGTGGTTCATATCCATCAGCTCGTTCAACTTTGGCGCCCGTCTCACCCCCAGTCGCTTTTCCAGATCTACTACCTTCACCATGAAGCTCCATGAGTTTTCCCAGTTCAAACCTGGGCTTCTTCAGCGTTGTGACTTTCCTGACGAAGACACCGTGGAGAGGGTAGATGGGCTGGCAGGCCTTTTCTGTGTCTTTTCCGATGCTGTCTGGAATCAGTTATTGACCACTTGTTTCAAGTCATTCGTCTGCACCTCCCGGGTCATGATTTCCATCATCTTCCGGATTCGGTGGACCTGCTGATGCTGGGCATAAGAGGTCTTCGGTGTGATTGCTGCGTTTGTTAGTAAACCCAACACAGAAGAGACGAAGCAAATAACCATCCTTAGTCCTGACATCGACATGAGCTTCAATCATGGTCTCCCATTTTTTGACCATGGAACACCTTTTGTCACGGGTAGGATCCATGCCATGGAAGTTAGTCAAGCAGTTTTTACCCTGAACGTCCTCAGTAATTAGCTTGAATGTCCTAAATGCGACTTCGTCATTCTGCAGATCTGCAAGGCTCACTTCAAGGGCCATCAGACACAATTTTGGGTCCTTGAGTCCTGGTAACCAGTGTCTTCCCAATATTCCTTATGTTGAACATAGCAGGTGCTTCCATGTCATACCAATGTTATTTTAGAAAATGGATCAACCACTTTTTTCGTGGCTCCCTTTTTGCTGCCTTTCGTAAGGAGCTTATTCTTGCCAACAACTGCCATGGTGCTACTCAGAGAGCCAAAAGGGCTAGACTCTTATATTTTAAATTTCTAGGCTGTGGGCTGGCAGGTGGCGTGGTGGTTGGGGCGCTGGATTCCCACATGGCCGATCACGGTTCGAGTCCTGGACCTTGATTGCTTTGTCACTCTCCCTCTCCCTCTCTCTCGCTGGTCAAAATGAATTTAAAAAATGCATAACTATAAAAAATTTCTAGGCTATACTTATGGAAAGTCATAGTTATTTTATTTACAGGGTATGGAGATGCTTCTGGAAATTCAGAAACATATCAACAAAATCATTGAAACGGTATGTATAGATTCTATGGTATCTCAGTACCAGACCTTCAACGCCTTCTTATATCCAACTTGTAGTTCATTTTGGAGTTAAATCAGTATTGTTACTGATATGAAAAACTGATGTATTTCCATGGGGTTTCCTATATGATGGGGGTTTCCTCATTGGCTATGGATCCAGCTTCTAATGGCACTTGGCAAGTTCATTTTGATTTCTGAGGCAGCTGGTTCTGTGCTAAGATCATCATTTAGGATTTCCGAGAAAAGAAAAGCTCTGGCCCCTAGGTTTCGAGAGGTAGTTTAGTGTGGCACTTACGCATATCCTTGTGCCTGATTAGGAGCCTGGTGCTGGGCAAGCAAGGGCCCTTGGCCACGCAGCCCTCTCAGAGGAAGTCACAAAGGCAGATGGGTTACCAGTTGTCACATCATATTCTAGCTAGGGCAGAGCGAAGTGATAGGGCAGGGCTGAGACCAGGAGGGGACCCCGTGCTAGTCTGTGGGACTTTAAAAAAATATGTACATTTATAGAAAAGCAAATACCCTTTACCCCGTTTCCCCCCGTGCCACTGATACATTATATGGTACCTTTGTCAAAACTAAGAAATGAAGTGTTACATCACTAATAACTAGCCCCCAGACTTCATTCAGATTTCACTGTTTTATCCACTAATGTCCTTTCCCTGTTCCAGGAGCCAATCCATTGAACCTAAGGCTTATGCTGTAGGATTAGAAAGCATGAGTGCCTCCTGCCAGAGGCTGGGGGCTAGGACACTATAGCAATCTGACATGAAGGAGCTTAGGTCCCAGGGCTCTCTGCAAACTCTGAGTGTGTAACTGCAGGCTGAGGGCACCAGCCCCCCTCCTTGTCCTGGTAGCTATGGACTGGTTGGGATCTAAGCCTTGCAGTAATAATGTAGACTTATACAAATACATCATTATTATACATATGTAATAATGAGCATACTCTTCCATGTTTGCCATTCTGAGTTGGCAGCAGTTAACTATGCAGATCTTCACCCGATTGTGCACGACTCCCCTTTGCCCTTCTGTTTATGACCAAACCTAAACCCTCTGTGCGGCCTAACTGGCATCCACTCTCAGTCCCTGCCTCATGTTCAGCACTGCCTGCCGTGCCCCAGCGTCTTCAGGAAGGCCATGCTCTCGGACCTCCACACGTACACTCTCTACTCAGAGGGCTGAGCGTCACACACATCCCTCTTGCCTCCACCCTGCACTACGTCCATGTTTCCACTTCCGCAGAGTCTCTTTCCCGCCCCCATATCGGTGAGGCGGCCTTACCCTGCGCTCCCAGCAGGTACTCAGTCTTCCCTCACTGACTTGCAGCTCATCTGTCTGCCTCACTGGACTACGAGCTTCCTGAGGTTGTGCCCATGTTTCATGAACACTGTTCTCTCGTAGGCCTGACTGTGCTATTTTTATCAGAGGTAGAAAGTGCCAATGGTTTTACTCTACAGTGAAAAGACATAGGATGATAGCATTTGCATACTTACTTGCGAATCATACCAATGCTTGGCACGTGCCAGCTTACGGAGGCCATAAATACCGGCTATGAACGTGCGGGCCTTATCTGACTAAACCTTGCTACGACATGTGTTCAGTACCTGTTGTGGGAAGGTGGGAATGCCCCTTTGGGAATTAGCTTTGCTTTTAACTTCAAATGGCATCGCATCTACCAGATTCACCAGATTTAATGCCTTTGGTTGTTTCCAAAGTCCCAATCCACTCTACAGGAGAAAGTGTTTGTACCGGAGAATATTCAAAACAATGCTGGGCCCATAAAAGCAAATATCACAGCGGTCTTATTCCGAAGAGCAAAGGGGAGACTTTGTACCCTGCAAAAAAAAAGGGGGGGGGCGTGCATGTAGGAGTTGATGATGTGTATGAAGAGAAATGTGTGAATCTCTATAGGCACACACCATACTAGAAACGGGGCAGAAACATGTCTGAAATTGAGAAATACTTTGGGGCTTTACCAGAGTAGGGAGTGGCTAGAATCATGTGTGTGTGTGCATGTGTACCTGGATATGTAGACACGTGTGTGTGTGTGTGTGTGTGACTCCCCCCAGTGGGGCTGGCCAGTCCCCAGAGCAGCGATAGGTGAGAGGATCTGAAGTTTTGCTTGCTGCCATTGACACGTCTGAAGATCCCCAGTGATGTGTTTTTAATCTTGTATTCCACAGCCCCTTCCTCCAAAAGCTGAGACCAAAAAAGGGCATAATGGAAGCAAAAGAGGCCAAGCAAGTATATGCATTTGTTTACTGTACTTCCAGATGATACTATATATTCTCTACCCCATTCTCTCTGCCTTAGCCATTTTGCTCCAAGACCACCAGGATTAAGGCAAGAAAATCATCGGTGGAGTGTCCAGATACTGCAGGATAATCTCTACATAACCCTCAGCGCTGGGGTAATTCCATCCCGGCCTTTCTGACAACAGGCCACCTGGCCAGCACTGCCAGCAGCTGTCCAACCAGCTGAGATCTCAGAGGGCTCGCAAGCATTTGAGTACTAGTATTATACCTGACCCTATTGGTGAAGTGTTGGGGAAGTTATTCTCTCCGATAACTAGCTGGAAGACGTAATGAGTGTTTTAGATTTTAATTTTGCTTCCATCAAAGAGAGAAAGGCAAAGCACAGAGAGACATCCATCTCTCCCATCTGGTCCCCAAACAGCATGGAAGCACCATTTCAGATGAACCACGGTGGGAACTCAGATTTTGCCAGGAAGAGTCAGGCAAATAGTTCTTGTGAAAACTGGCCAGGCTGGCCTCAAAGGCTGTGGAGGCTGGCTGAACTCCATCCCTCACTTTGGTGATTGTGGATGCTCTAGTGGATGGATACACCTACTAAACGAGTATATCTAAACTTTGAGCAACATAAACAGAACAGCCAGTAGGAAGTCAGGGGGAAACGCCGACAGTGGCAGGGTGGCATCTTTTCCCTGTTTTCTCTCGAAGGCCGGAATCCTAGGCCCCC